ACAGAAATATCAACTTGATATCCTCTATTTACTTATTTAACAAATCATCTATTTTTTATGATATTTTCAATTTAGCTTTGAATTTTGTTACATTTAGCTGCTGAATTCAACACGATATGGCGCTGCAAGAGATGCTCTAAGAGAAGTACAAGAGCGTCATGATGACATTAAAAAAATTGAGAAGACCATTGCTGTAAGTTTTCTTAATAATTTTTCATTCATTGACTTGTTAATTTGATTATTATTATTTTTGCATTTCAGGAACTTGTCAATCTTTTCCAAGAAATGCAAATGTTGGTTGAAGCACAGGATGCGCCAATTGCTGCTGTTGAAGAGCATGCTACTCAAGTCAGTAAAGACCTAGAATCTGGCGTCGCACAAGTAGAAAAGGCTTTAGAAAGTGCGAAAGGTGCTAGAAAAGTATGCCAAAGTTTTATTTTTTTGATCATTGATTGGAGTTAATTTAATATTGTAACACATACATATATATATATTACAGAAAAAATGGATATGTCTTTGCATTTGCATCCTCATTTTAATAATTGTCGCAGTAGTAGTTTATTTCTATTTCTTCAAGGATAAAGTCGGCGGTAGCAATAATTCCAATAATTCCAATACCTCCAATACCTCCAAAAGTAGTAACATCACCACCACATAATGTAGTATAGAGTATCGATTCGGATGACTATATCCGATCTGATGCGGATATTATTTAAACAGATATATCCGAACCTGATATTAGATTGGATCGGATTATCCGTTATCTTTTTACAAATATCCGATTAATACATTATTGTTATTTAGACGTTAAAATTTTAAAGATTATACCGATAACATAAAAAATAATATTTATTTTTCGCAATCATGATAATTATATCGCAATGATAATTATATTGCAATAATAATTATATCACAATAATCACAATAATAATTACATTTAAATTTATAATTACATTTATGTAAACATAACAACTAGCGTAAATAATAATGGAGAATACATTTATAACATATTATTCAGGATGAATATTTTGATATTGATCGATATTTCTTTTTAAAAATATCATTCTTTTAAAATCTCTGGAGAAATACGGGTCTCTTTGATGTCATTAAGTTACCAGCATCACTGAATAAAGCATTTACTAATTCCCCCCAAGTTTCTATTGGCTGGAATTATTCGCACCAATTTATTTAAAACGTGACACCTAAGTTAGGGTTTGGGCAGTGATTATTTTTCGCTGTGCGGACTGTGCGCAGCACACAAAAAAAAAAAAGACCTAGCTGCCGCACTAATTTTTCACGGATCATTCTGTGGCAAATATATCGAGCACCAAAAATTCATGTAATTCAACAAAAAATACAAATGAACAAAAAAAAAATTATAGACTAACAAAATAATAACGATAAGCAAGTTTATTTATTTCGAATAAACTCAATAAACGTAATATTTATTACAGCTAGAAAAGTAATATGATTACGGTTTTTAGAAATATTTGGAAT